TTTGATAAATATTGGGGTGGTAATGATCTCAGAGGATCGTGAGCGAAATTAATTCATTGATTCATTCATTTTCTACGTCTTATCTAGACTTTGCAGGTTATTTAATGCCCCTAAATACTTTTTTTTAGATTATATTGTTTGGGTAAAATGTATTTAGCGTTACGTCAAATCATTATCTTGGGAACAAAAGGCGGATTCATGCCTTTCCGTAAAGTATTCACGCGTAAGTGAATATAAGGGGAAAACTGGATCTGGAATTTGGTTCAAGGATTAAAATTGCAGTGCCATTATTCATAAGACCACCAGGACATATAAGCTTACAACACAATAATTCTCAAACGGTCATTCATCTAGATACTAAGGATGCTCAGCGTTGCTTAACTTCGGTGATCGTACGAAAACCGGTATCTCAAAGTGATGTGGCCGTAAACATGAATGAAACTGAGTAGACGAGTGTTTGAAGCCGTTGTGGTTAGTGCTATTACGAAATCATTGTGACCAAGAGTTTGAGCCTACTGATCTCGTCTCATTGGGGGCTCTCTGTCTGTTTCTCAATTGGTCTTTCTCTCTCTCTCTCTCTCTCTCTCTCTCTATATATATATATATATATATATATATATATATATATATATATATATTTTTTTTATAGCATACCGATAATGGGTATGTCCCCATTCACATAAATACAGTAGTAAATACTGTATGTTGGTCTGCATAGAATATTTTTGGCCGAGCCTACGGTCTCGGAGAACCCAAGTTAAACTCGGCCTTGTGTCACATAATACATCCCTCGTAGGGCTGTAAAATACTAACAGTTGAATAGATCTGTTCCAACTGTGCCGATCAAACTTTCTGACTCCGCGCAGAGAGGATCCCCAGACGAGACTATGTCGAAGGGCAGATTATCGTCTCGGAAAACAGTTATCCGACGCCGTTTGATACAGGAACTATGGGAAATTTTTGACCAAGACTACGGGCTCGGATACCCCACATTAAATTAGGTCTTGTGCCACATCTGACCGCGTGGGACGGTTGGTAGATATCCTGAAGTTGGAGATTTATTGTGGAATTCACTTGACTCACTTATAGCAGTTGACGTCTACTTCCACGAGCCTCTGTCGAATCTTATAGGTGTTGTTCTTGTCCTAAGTATTATCGTTCAATACCAACCTTCGTGTTATTATTCTATTCAGTAACCTTCCCTATGTTACAACACTTTCAGAAACAGTATCTGAAATCTATTTAGAAACAACATCATGATGGTTGTTACTCGGGTCCGAAGATACTTTGTTAATTAATGAGGTGATCTTGATGTGTTTTTGCAATCAAAGTCTGGATGTAAACATTCTGGAGTGGTCCTTGTGACCAAAATGTCAAAGTGGAACTGTTCTCTTTGAATAGTGATTTTTGGCACCAAGCTTTGATGCCGAGGTTTGATGAACAATGGCCTTCAACGCAATCGGTTGGCAGCTTTCCCTCTAACTCCTTGGATTTGTTAATGCACAAGAGGAAGTTTGTTTTGATCGAGTTTTCGTCCTGTTTTGGGGATCGGTCTTGATGTTTTCTGCTACATAGAAGCTCTCCGTGCGACAGATGTCTCGGAATGCGATTTGCTCCATTCGGATGACGTATCCAGATATGAACTGTGCTTTGATGAGCATTGATTCAATGCTGGCCAAGTTCACACGGTTTTAAATTTCAACGTTTGGGGATGCAATCCTGTAACGCGATTCCAATGATTAGACACATACTCTTGCGGCATGTGACACTCTTCGCGATTTCTTGATGCGCTAGCTGCAAAAGGTACACACTTCGCCTCCGTAGAAGAGAGAAGCGATGACCACTGCGTTTTTCACGTTAAAAAGAGCTTTTGTTAGTACATGAATGCGTAATGGATTGAAAATATATTTATTTTTGGGCATCTACAGATAAACGGAGCTCGTTTTATTTACCCCTTGAATAGAGGATAAGAAACCAAATTCCATTTCACCATGATGTGTGCCGCTCTTCACCTCATCGTACAGATCAGCAGGTTATACCTCCCATTTATCGTCTAACAAGCTAAAACACGAAGAAATGGGCAAAGAGGTGTGGAGTTAGATATAACCCTTATTTATTGTTATTATTTCTAATGCTGTCCCATGATACAAATACATGAGAAAACTCCTTGGCATCTATTAGGAACATAAAGCCAATGACTGTGCGGAAAAGGGTTGAAAGTTTTGTTGGCCCCAGGAGCATCTTCTCGCCACTGTCAAACGGAGAAAATGACGTGGTTTGGACACCTTACATGGCACGGCAGCCTCTTCAAAACAATCATGCAAGGCACCGTAGAAGGTGGACATAAGAGAGAACTCTAACCCAGAAACTGTTTGGACAATGTCAAACAATGGACAGGTATGACTATAACAGAATTGCTAATGTCTGCCGATAATTGATCGTTGTGGATGACATTCAGTGTGGCTTCTGCATTCAGATCCTCCGCTACGATTACAAAAGTCAATGGGATGACTAAGATGATGTCTCATGATTGGGTGATTTTGACGTTGTTCAATATTCGGGTTCCTTTCATTTCTGAGGTGTCTTTTTTTTAGAGTTAGGTATGACTACATCTTTTACTACGTCATAACAGAAAATTGTGTTGATTGCGTGTTAAGTAAGGATGGATAAGGCAAAATGTAATTTTATGTTGACATCTTTGAATCTGTGTTTTATTATTCTTAATGTTTTGTCAATTTTGTGATCATTAAATATTGTCCGTAATAACTCGTTTGCATCGATAGGAAGTAGGAAACTAAAGATTAATATAAACATCTTCTCCAATGTTATCGATTTACTCCTATTCAATGAATGGTATTCACGAATTGTCCTCTGCGAATTTTAAACTGATACTGAGGAACATTCTCTGCCATCCATATTTGGTAACCAATGAACTTTTCCTTTTTTTTATTAAAAAAAAATCACTCCAAGTAAAGTAGTAAAACTACTAATACATAAGGGCTTACTAGGTGTGGACGATTTAGAAAAAAATATTACAATGGATCGTATAGAAGAGTAATCAGGAAGACAGTAGATAACGATTTACATTGCATTCGTTTTTTTTTTTTTTTTTTTGAAGATTAAAGCTAGCTGGAAAGCATAAAGCCGGAAGGGAGATCCACAGCCGAGAAGTGCGAGAAAAGAAACTGTTAGCATAGAACTTACGGTTACATTTACCCAATCCAACTGTAATTTAATGAGATGTTGTTGCCAGTCTAATACTGTGTTTAAATTCATAGAGTCCAGGAATCATAGCGAAAAGCTCACCCGAATAATCACCATGAGAATATTCAAAGAAAAGGCGCAGGTATATCTCAGTTTCAGTTACTTTTAGTAAGTCAACTATCCAAGTTTTGGTCACCTCTGCCCAAGAACACGTGCCTCAGTGGATAAAAACTTTGGCTGAATTAATCCAGTGACTTGACCCAAAGTGTTGCGGTTTCAATACCTGGCCACAGACAAGGTGAACAAAGAAACTTGGAGAGTTGAGTGACTGAGGAGAAATAATTGAAACTGAGAAAACGCTTGGCACATGAAACGAGAATAATCTAACCCGGTGGACGGAATAAAGTGTTCCGTTCAAAATTCCAACTTATATCACTTGAAGAAAGGCGGACGTGCAACGAGCAAAACGTTGTGAATATGACAATAAAGATGATTACAACAGTCCGAACAATGTACATAGTATAAATAGTTACAATACCTCATCTCAGAAATATAGACAGATCCTGAAGATGGCCGGAGCGTATAACGGTCGAAATGCCGTGAATATGACAATAAAGATGAAGACAACAGTCCGAACAATGTACATAGTATAAATAGTTACAATACCTCATCTCAGAAATATAGACAGATCCTGAAGATGGCCGGAGCGTACAACGGCCGAAACGTCGTGAATATGACAATAAAGATGAAGACAACAGTCCAAACAATGTAAATAGTGAACATGGTTACAATACCTCATCTCAGGAAGATAGACAGATCCTCAAGAGGGCCGGAGCGTACAATGGCCGAAATGTCGTGGATATTACAATAAAGATGTGGAAAAAAATCCGAACAATGTAAATAATGTAAATAGTTAAAATACCTCATTTCAGAAATATAGACATATCCTGAAGAAGACCGTAACATACAACCGTCGAAACGTCGAGAATATGAAAATAAAGATAAGGAAAACAGTCCAACAATGTAAATAGTGTAAATAGTTACAATACTTCATTTCAGAAATATAGATATATCCTGAAGTAGGTCGGAGCGTACAACGGCCGCAAGGTCGTGAATATGACAATAAAGATGACGACAACAGTCCAAACAATGTAAATAGTGAACATGGTTACAATACCTCATCTCAGAAATATAGACTGATCCTGAAGAAGGCCGAAGCATACAACGGCTGAAAGGTCGTGAATATGACAATAAAGATGTGGATAACTGTCCAAACAATGTAAATTGAGCAACGAGTTTAGTACTCTTTTCTTTGTTTCTACCGAAATGTTCCTGTTTGTTCATCGTTTGTTTAAATTTGGCTATTAGAATTCGCCAACGAATTTTAGTGCTGCAGTTTCCTAAATTTTTCAAGATATTTTAATTTTTGTACATTGCTTCATTTAGAGGACTCTGATTCCTAGCTCGCATCTTGGGATGTTAAATAGTTTAAAAAAATCGAATAAAAGAAAGAAAAAAATGTAGGTAATCATGTTGAAATTTTGTCCAAATAAACGCTCGGGAATTTTCCATGCAAAACATTGTCAAATATTAGCATATTGTGTAGCAGAACAGAAGACGTATTAGCACGAGAGAGGATGATAAAAGATGTCGGAAGAAAGCGAGAGGAGTATGCGAAAAAGAGATGAAAAAATATGTCCTTCATTTTGTCATTATTAAATTACAGTCGCTCAAATTAGCGAGCCTACATTCTCATCTGTTTATCGATGCTTGGCAGCGAGATAAAATGTTTACCATTAAGATATGCAAAAATACAACGAATATGTATTCGTGAGAGGGGGACAGAGAGAGACAGAGAGAAAGCGAAGGGGAAAATAAAAAAAAAGAGGATGTCGATCACAATTATGTTCAAAGAGAAAGAGATAGAATATCAGGTAGAAAACGAGTTGATGGAAAAGGAGAAAAGGAGAGAGATTATGACAGAATGAAAGAACAACTGCTTTCTTGTCATGTATAAAGGCCAAAAAGAAAGAGTGTGAGACAGACAGAGAGACAGACAGAAGGAGAATGCTAAAAAGATAGAATGAACGAACGAGCAGAGGAGAAGAGATTATCACCATTTGTTCCAAAACAAGAACAGCTTACTAAGGAGAGAATGACGAAGAAAGAATAAGAGAGAGCGAGAGAGTAAGAGAATAATGATCGCTCAAAGAACCATATATATATATATATATATATATATATATATATATATATATGGAGAGAGAGAGAGAGAGATAAGGACAGACTTCAAAGATATACAGATAGATATTTAAACGGATTGTGATAGATAGATAGATAGATAGATAGATAGATAGATAGATAGATCGAGCAAGAGAAAAGAGAGATACTGAGACAGACCGAATAGAAAACTCAGGGAAGACTTAAAAGAGAATGAGAGAGAGAGAGAGAGAGAGAGAGAGAGATAGAGAGAGAGAGAGAAAGTACAAGAGTGAAAGTCAGTTAATTTATATATATATATATATATATATATATATATATATAATTCGACGATGTCTCTCACACCACTCCTCGCTACCCTCTCTGTTAATTTACACAAACTTAATACTACCCGTCAAAACTGTGAATTTTCCTTTAATCTTTCGTTTCATTTTTTGGAAGTGTTATCTGATGATCCAGCATCCCTTAAATGGACTCTGGTGAAATAAATTATTATAATGGAACCTTAAAGTGGTCTGTTTTTCTTTAAATTATTAGCTCTGGATTTACATTGAGCTCTCGGGATTTCATCATCCTTGGGCCTACCCATACGGATTACCAAGTTTTTCATAACCTATATATATATATATATATATATATATATATATATATATATAAAATAGGAAAGAACTCGTTAGGTAAATAATCCAAAGTTCTTTAGTATTTTTGTCATTATTTTTTTAAAAATAGTGCTCGATACAAAAGTAGATTATAAATATAATTATTTATTTAAAAATATGATTCTAACACGATACATTGAATTAAAGTACTAATTTAATTCAATTCAACTAATTATATTGAAGTTTTCGGCTCTTGTTTTGAATCATGAGAACTCTTATGTAGCGTGCTGGAATCATATTTTAAATAAAAATTATATATATATATATATATATATATATATATATATATATATATATAGGTCAGAGAGAATCTGTATTGGTTTATTCCATTATAAAACATGGTGAGTTGAGTTACTAAAGGGAATTAACTGAAACTGGGATATCCCTGTGCCTTTTCTTTGAATACTGTCGTGGTGATTTGAAACAGAAAGAAAAGAAATGATAAATAGAAAGAGGGATATAGTATCTACACCTATAACATAAAACAAGGAGACATAGCAAGGCAAAGGAAACAAATGAAAGAAATAGGCAATATCAAACGTTACAAATAGAGGTACTGACTGACAGAGAGAGAGACAGAGAGAGTTAGATGGAGCCGATGAGAACAAGCAAGTGAAAAAGAGACAAATGCTAAAACGCGTGAGAAGGCACGTCGATTGTCATTTCAACAAAAGAGAGGTGAACGAAAGGGGCGAGATAGCTATAGTGAGAGAAAAAGGCAAAACGAGAGAATGAAAGAGAAATAAGAGAGAATTAAAGAAAGAGAGAGAGAAAGAGAGAGAGAGAGAGAGAGAATGCCGATGGTTATAAAAGAAAGTCACGAGAGCATGTAAGCTAGAGAGAAAGAAAAGTGCTATTGTAAGAAAAGACGGTTAGAAAAATAGAATGAGAGACAACAGCAATCGCTTCGAGGTGAGAGTGTAAACGAGAAATTAAAATAAAAACAGAAGATTACATAGGGGGAGAATGTTGTTCACTGTAACTCAAGAGAGAGACGGAGAAAGAGAATACCCCTCTCTAATAGTTACAGAGAAGGTAGTATTGCGCATGGTTGTGAGAAAAAAAAAACAAACAGCGGGAGAAAAACGGAGGTGGGGATTTCGATAGGCCTTACTCTCAAAGAAAGAAACTGGGATAATTATAAAGAAGATGCAATTGAGTAGAGCAATAAGGTTAAGAAAATGAAAACAGTTTCGGATGAACATATGGGGCCGAGGAATAAAACTAAAAAAAAAAAATGGTCGCCTTGAGTGAAAACAAGAAAGAGACGCACAAAAAAGAGTAAGTGAAATCGCCTCTGAGCTCTATCTAACGAAAATTAATTCCTGTTATTCAGCAACATATGAGATGTTGAGGGGACGCGAGCTGGACATGTTATTGTCGACAGACAATCGGCATTTCTTGACATTCTTACGACGGGTTCAGTTAATCCGAGCAAAAGCAGCTCAAACCAAACGTCCATCAAATAATGAAATTGAACGAAAGCCTGGACAAAGCGGAGCCCGGCTACTGTTGACCCGCACCCTAACCATGTTTAATCAATGGAGACGCGAAACACCGAGACTTCAACACTTTTCTTTAATAGGATGACGATCAGGTTATCGATTTGGAAAATTATTTTGTCATATTAGTTCGATCTTTATCGGCAATGTGTGCGTTTATGTAATGTACAAGAATAGGCTAGGAACTAATAAATGAATAAAAGGGGATATCATTCTCATATATATATATATATATATATATATATATATATATATATATATATATATTTAAAGTGTAGGGGTATGTGGTTGTTTTTTAGACGTACCAGTGTGCCCAGAAACGGAATGGAATTTGAGGAATATTCCATAGTGAATTTCCTGGTTTGGTGGAAGTTATTAAGGTGACTTTTAAGATCTAGGTGATTGTTTTCTCATGCATGTCCATATGAAGATGATGTCGTCTATGTACCTGTGGTCGTGTAGGGGTGCCATGTGGTAACTACTCAACATATCTTTTTCTAAGGCATCCATGAAGATGTTAGCATAGCTGGTGACCATTTTCATTCCCATTGCTGTGACTCTAACTTGGTTGAACTGGATGTTGTTATGTGTGAGTATGAAATATATTTTTCGAAATATCTCGAATCTACTGCTCGGGGTAGTCTACAGATCTCAACTAATTCTTGCAGGCTAGTATGCCCTTCTCCTGTGGGATGTTAGAATATAAGGACAAAACATCTAATCTTACACGGAGTGCATTGTAGGGTAAACTATCTATGTTACTCAGGATTCTTAGGAAATGGGTAGTGCTTTTATTATAGCTAGGAATGGAGGATAATAGAGGTTTGGCTTTCTTGTCAACAGAGCCAACGATGTGTTGTGCCAGTATTCCTATACCAACCGGGTAGAAGAATCTTAAGGGATTCCATACGTTTATGCATCTTATTTTGGTTATTTTTGGTGTCCTCCCTAGTGAGGTTGGTGGTTGTGTTTTTGATTATTTTAGGGAGTTTGTGTACTTTGGAGAGGGTGTAGAATGTGTTACAGTTTTTTGGATATGTCTGTAATAGCGAGGCAACCAAAATGAGCTGACTCATTTTATAGTTCACCAATAGAAGGGTTAACCAATCAGAAAGCTCAAAATATTCAATCCTACATGTATAAAGGCAGCCATTTTGTTTTTTGCTCCCAAATTATCCCCACTGCCAACCTGATATCGAAGACTTAAAGAATTACTTAACAGCCGCTACTTTCTCTGAATCTTCACTGCCAACCTCTGATATTGAACACATTACGGTCTTCACTTCTATATTCAGAGACTACGGCAAACATGGTTAACAACAGAATGTGCTGGGTCTGGGATTATTCGGCATCAAGTCCTTGATTTGTGCCTGTGTGGTGTGGTCCAGAATGCTGACAAGAGAGAGATGTTCAGACATGAAATCCTCAGTTGGACCTAGGGGAATTCTTTGTTTTATAAAACATGGATCGTTGAGCTGAGATTACGCTTCTGAGATATATATATATATATATATATATATATATATATATATATATATATATATATATATATATATGTATGTATGTCTGTCCATAATAGTTATCGAACCGCCCTTGTCGGCTTATTTTATAATTATATCTTTGTTAGCTTGGAGGGTTTTTATGGCCGTCCGTTCCTGTCTGGTGAAATTCTTACTGTAGTTTAAACAGATTGCTGTTGGAAAACTCGATTCTACTTTAGTTTCCTTCCTTGACCCACTGTCTTCGAGCCCCTGTAGTGACAGTGTGTAATCGATTTCTATTTTTCATCAGATTAGATCATTTGCAATGGTGCACACTAAGATGCGTTTTAAGTGTTAAAACGTCAATAGATTTGAAACATTGTTTCAGAATAGGTACCTTCATGACATTTTCCACTAATCATTTATTCAAAAACTACGATCACATACATTTTACGTAGATAAATCTTTTCGTAATGCGTGAGCTGTACTTGTGAGAACAATGTATCATTATTATTATTATTATTATTATTATTATTTTCAATGTTTCATCGATAAGATCTTAATATCTAATAAGTGGAGGCCACAATCCGCAGCCTTAAGTATAAGTCATTTTTTACTCTGGCTTTGTTCATCTAATTACGAAATATTCTTGCCGCTCGTAAGAGGATTTCCATTACGTACCACAATGTATGCCAGTTTTCTTTATACATCTCAATTGAGTCACCTTAACAATTGCAGCAATGGCAACGGGTATATTTGTAACATTTTCCTTTTTCATCGAGTTCACCCCAAACAAAACCGTAAAGCCATTGAGACACAAGGGGATTACTGTATGTGGATGTGTTAGAAAACAGAAACAATACTATGGAGCAAGAAAAAAAGAACAGTAATCAGGAGGACAGGAACAATGAAAAACATGTAACAAAATTAATATTTCAGACACACTGGGTTATTGACATTGCATTTACACTTTTGCAGATTAAAGATACAACACCTTCATTCACTTTGAGCCTTACAGTTTCGCCCACTTACCGCTTGTGAAATCATTTTCTGGATTATCGCTTTCCAGTTAAGTTTCATCTTTAGATATTTGATATCAGTTATTATGGCCTCTTTGCTTAATTCTTCTATTGTTCCCTCTCCTTAATAAGCTTTTCTTTTTCTCGTATTCTCCCAGTAACCTCTCACGTTAGAGTGGCTTTATTGTTCTGCTTGGTGATGAGTTTGATTGCTTGATTCGTTTATCTCATCTTATGATTTAAAACATGGATTTTTTTTATATTGTAAGAAGTTTGTTTAGGTAATAATGGTTTAATTACAGAAGTCTTAATAATTAAACAATAGTTGGAGGAGAAATAGAGTCATACATTTTTTTCCAAGGGTATTTGTGGGTAAGTGAATATATCGAACCAAACGGGAAGCTTCCAATTAACAATTCCGAATCATTAGTCATTACACCCCTTGTACATTCAAGCTCAAAGCACATGGTATTCTTAAGCGGCCAGACATCAAGGTGCTGACCAGAATAGACTTTGGTTAATTTCGGTCATCGAACGGAATCTGTTATTTCAACGTGGTGTGACCGTAAGTCTTTACTTGGAATAAAATCATTTAAAAAAATAACCATGATGTCGTGTTCCGCCTTTTGGAATCGTTGAGAATTGACTTTTTTTATTTGTTTGCGTATACTAGTGACCTGCGTTGGAATATCCGTTTTTAATAAATTGTCTTAAAAAATATTGATATCTTTACTATTCTCTCGTTCGGCTTGTGGTATGTGCATACATCAGTAAACTACATAGCTAAATATATTGATGTCAACGAACACTCGCAGCCGCTTTTGTAATGTTAGCGAATACTCGTAGTCACTTTAGTAATGCTCGCTTTAGTAGAGACTTTGTAATCACTGATACTATATTAACGCCGTTGAACAATGCTGGTGTCAGACGCCTTCAAATAACACTCACACTAATACTTGCTCAATAATAATCGCTGGAATAACCGCCGAATGATCCGAATAGTAATCCGTATAGTGAAATATTCCCTAACCGCCCTACGCGGTTAGATGTGGCACAAGGCCAAGTTTATTGTGGAGTATCCGAGCCCGTAGGCTTGGCCCCAAATTCCCCGTCGAACCCGTAAGAACGGGGTCGAGTAGCTGTCTCCAGAGACGAGACTCTGCCCTTCAATGTAGCCTCGTCTGGGGATCCTCTCTGCTCGGAGGCAGAGAGTTTGACCAGCACATTCGGAAGTAATCCGTATAATGACGATATACATTAATCGACCTACCCGGTCAGATGTGGCACAAGACAGAGTTTATTGGTGGGTATCCGAGCCCATAGGCTCGGCCAAAATTTCCCCGCAAACCCCGTATAAAATGGAATCGGGTAGCTGTTTCCCAAGACGAGATTGTCTTTAAACTGATTTAGTTTTCAAATTAGTACTTCGTTAAATTTGAGTAAAATTGTAGTTGAAGGCATTTTTATATTTAAAGAAAGGAATATTTGGAGATATATTTAAATTTTAAAAAAAAAGAGTAGATGGAACTATTTTTATATTATATTTCCTTCACTGTAGCTTCATATTTTTCAGTTATCAAGGCCCTTTTATTCGAAATGGAAGCAAATAATTTATTAAAATGAATAAGTAATTTCTAAGATTACATAGATTTAATAAGTATTTTTCATATTTTTTCAAATACAATATTTTTAATTAAATCTTTAATTTACATTATTCCATTAGTGTTTTAATTGGATCCTTAATTCTCTAAATGATTAAAAAGTCATATTGAAAGTTGGGTGTTTTCAATGCTTTTATGCTTTTTCGGGTGGTTGTCTCCGGTCAAAGACAAGTGACGTTGAAACAGTCTGACGCCTCAACGGTTGTGCTGAAAAGTCCAATTATTTTTCTGACGCCGAATCAGCAACGTCGAATCGGACACGCCAAAACAGCGACGCCAAGTGGGCTACGCCGAAAAGTACTAATCCCGATAGCGGTCCCAGGATCAGAAAATAAAAGATGTGTTGAAAAAGTCATGCATATATGTATGCATGATAATGTATGTCTGTACATGTACCATAGAAGCGAATATTCCGAAACCTGGTACAGCTATTCGCTGAACGGAACTTTTATCCGAATCGTTCGTTGAATAATATTCAACCTATACGATTTATTTTCATCACGGAATTAAGTACATTGACAAGAATTGAATTATTTTAAAAA